CTTCTGTCTGTTGTTAATGGTTCTGGCTGGAACGAGGGTGGTTACTGGTCTGCCCGAAGTACGTATGAATGCCATCTATGTGTGTGTATTAAGTTTCCCTTCCTATGTAAAATGTAGTTAACCTGCGTGTGTAATGTATGTCAAACTTTCTTTCGTTCCTGTGTGATCGCAGCCTGAAAGTCTCTCTGAATGTTTGTTCTTAATGTGCGTGTAGACTTACGTGGTTTTAGCGTGTTGTGTCTTGAAGGTTATTTATATAGGAGACTATGGGATGCTTGTAACCTTACCTCCACTGTCAGTAAATAATGCATGCACAGGTGAACCGGGGTGACAGACTCGTGTTGGCGGAGTCTTAGCCTCCCCCCCCCCTATCACAGGTGTTACACCACACATGACTATCACCACTACTATCCTATGAGGCTCCACTATCACCACTGGTGGTAGTGGAACCTCACCCTCGGGAGGACTATAAAAGCCATTTCTAAAAGTTTTTAGTTAGAATATACTCGGAGTGCCTTGCCTTCTCTTCCTCCTAAGATTTTCTTCTCACCTCTCTTCTGCCTATTTATTGCCTTCTCCTCCTTCAAGCGTCACAATCGACTTAAGAATGGTCCAGGACGGACCGAAACGTCGTCGTCCCTTCACTTTCTAGTGTGTGGTCTGGTCAACATACTTCAGCCACGTTATTGTGACTCATCGCCTGCAGAATATGGAAGATGGAGACAGGCAAAGAAACATTCCACAGTACAACAGAACGGGCCGGGCTTGGGAAGTAGAACCACTCCCAGAACCCCATTCAGGTACATAGACATTTATGAAGCTACCAGACTATATGAAGGAGAGTACAGCGTGTGTGTCAACAGAATGGTTAGTCATACAGAGGGATGTGATCAGTAGCCCACACTGACAAAGTTTTCCTGCATTGAAGATATCATCAAGAACACGAGAGTTAATAAAGTGATTGGAAAGCTTCAGGTGCCTCTATGCCAACGGGTCTGAAGGAACTAATAACTGGGCATGCAGTAGTGTAGTGGGTGAGATAATGACCCAGTTCCCCTTGACATAGCTTGCACCTGGAGTGCTCACAATTGGGATTGATTGATTGATGAAGATAAAGCCACCCAAAAGGTGGCCCTGGCATGAATAGCCCGTAAGTGGTGGCCCTTTTGAGCCATTACCAGTATCAAGAGCTGATACTGGAGATCTGTGGAGGTGCGACTGCACCCTGCGTGACGGAGATGTCTCCCGTCAGACAATTGGGAGATTCGTCACCAGCGGCATCCAGGGAAAATGACAGGGTGGGTTAGGAGACCCTTCAAATCACGGGAATCCTCCATAATGCTCCTAATATTCAAGTCACATGGACTGTCCCGTCTTGAATACTGCTCGGTACTCACTAACACATTCAAGGGAGGATAGATTTCTGAAAGAGGGAACCCAAGCCTGGCCTCGGGCCGGGCTTGGGGAGTAGAAGAGCTCCCAGAACCCTATCCAGCAGGTATCAGGGAACACTCGCCCCTAAACATTGGCACCGTCTCAAAGCTCTTCAATATACATTAAACTATATAATGGTAGGAAATCGCGAATACTTAGTGAAGAGTAGAGGTGCCATAGACACGATCAGAGAACGCTGTACGGACATCAGAAGTCATCGGCTATGCGATATCCCCGCAGCAAATAAAATAAATATTGCTGGAATAAAAGTGGACGTGTGCAAGGCCAAACTTTAAGACACATTCCTGGAGTGCCACCGGGTTTTAGCGGGTGTGTGGGCCTGAGCCCCGCTCAGATTAGCAGCCTGTTGAAGGGGAGTTACCACAAGTAGAACTCCCAGAACCTGCTACAGTGCCTATTCCCCTCAGGCGACACACACTCACTCACTGTCTCACTCACTGTCTCTCTCACTCACTCACTCACTCACTCTACACTTGACAATGCCATCACTATAATAACCTCGTTTCTGCAATTACTACCTATATAATGCGTAGTATATTGTAGTATTTGACACTTGTGATTTTAATAGCATTGATATTAACATTGTGTTTATAATTTGTTTATACCGAGTAATGGTTTAAAGGAGGTAATGGGTTATTTGAGAATGTCATGTGGTGGAGGCATTACCAGGGAAGGCACACCTCTGTTAGTGCTGGGGAACAGGCAATAGGTTAGTAGTGTGTGGTGGTGTAGGGATGGTGGTTGTGGTGGTGTAGGGATGGTGGTTGTGGTGGTGTAGGGATGGTGGTTGTGGTGGTGTAGGGATGGTGGTTGTGGTGGTGTAGGGATGGTGGTTGTGGTGGTGTAGGGAAGGTTGTGGTTGTGGTGGTGTAGGGAAGGTTGTGGTAGTGTAGGGAAGGTTGTGGTTGTGGGAACAGTACCTGGCATAGGTGGTGGTGGTGGTGGGGGGGGTCGTTATGGTGACGAAGGTGGTGGTTGGTGGGTGATATAGTAGATGGTGAGCCGTCGCCACCAGCAACCGTCAGTAGTCTGCAAGATCTCTCTCACTCCCCCCCTCCCTCCTCCCTCTCTCTTTTCTCTCTCCCTCTCTCTTCACTCTCTCTCCCTCAATGTCTTTTCTCTCTCCCTCCCTCAATGTCTTTTCTCTCTCCCTCCCTCAATGTCTTTTCTCTCTCCCTCCCTCAATGTCTTTTCTCTCTCCCTCCCTCAATGTCTTCTCTCTCTCTCTCTCTCTCTCTCTCTCTCTCTCTCTCTCTCTCTCTCTCTCTCTCTCTCTCTCTCTCTCTCTCTCTCTCTCTCTCTCTCTCTCTCTCTCTCTCTCTCTCTCAATGTCTTTCTCTCTCTCTCTCTCTCTCTCTCTCTCTCTCTCTCTCTCTCTCTCTCTCTCTCTCTCTCTCTCTCTCTCTCTCTCTCTCTCTCTCTCTCTCTCTCTCTCTCTCCCTCAATGTCTTTTCTCTCTCTCTCTCTCTCTCTCTCTCCCTCAATGTCTTTTCTCCCTATCCCTCTCTCTCCCTCTCTCTCTCTCCCCCTGCCAAGTATTGGCCTGAGGGGGATGAGAGACCACCAGTTACATCATTACCGGTGCCGGCCTCTCGCTATTGATTCCTCGGCCACACCTCACAGTACACAGTCTGGCTCATGGGCCACACCTCACAGTACACAGTCTGGCTCATGGGCCACACCTCACAGTACACAGTCTGGCTCATGGGTCACACACCTCACAGTACACAGTCTGGCTCATGGGCCACACCTCACAGTACACAGTCTGGCTCATGGGCCACACACCTCACAGTACACAGTCTGGCTCATGGGCCACACACCTCACAGTACACAGTCTGGCTCATGGGCCACACACCTCACAGTACACAGTCTGGCTCATGGGCCACACCTCACAGTACACAGTCTGGCTCATGGGCCACACCTCACAGTACACAGTCTGGCTCATGGGTCACACACCTCACAGTACACAGTCTGGCTCATGGGCCACACCTCACAGTACACAGTCTGGCTCATGGGCCACACACCTCACAGTACACAGTCTGGCTCATGGGCCACACCTCACAGTACACAGTCTGGCTCATGGGCCACACCTCACAGTACACAGTCTGGCTCATGGGCCACACACCTCACAGTACACAGTCCGGCTCATGGGTCACACACCTCACAGTACACAGTCCGGCTCATGGGCCACACACCTCACAGTACACAGTCCTGCTCATGGGCCACACCTCACAGTACACAGTCCGGCTCATGGGCCACACACCTCACAGTACACAGTCCGGCTCATGGGTCACACCTCACAGTACACAGTCCGGCTCATGGGCCACACACCTCACAGTACACAGTCTGGCTCATGGGCCACACCTCACAGTACACGGTCCTGCTCATGGGTCACACACCTCACAGTACACGGTCCTGCTCATGGGTCACACACCTCACAGTACACGGTCCTGCTCATGGGTCACACACCTCACAGTACACGGTCCTGCTCATGGGTCACACACCTCACAGTACACGGTCCTAAGGAGCTCATGGTCCACACCTCACAGTACACGGTCCTAAGGAGCTCATGTGCCACACACCTCACAGTACACAGTCTCACGGTAGAACATGTAGCTCTGAGCAGCAATCAATGAAATATCACAATTATTATTCCAAGAAATTTCAATTCAATTACTGTCTTTATTATGCACCCCATACCCATCCCATGGGCGGTGATTGGCAAGACTGTTCCCAACCCCAGGGCGCCTCATAGCTGAGTGGACAGCGCTTCGGACTCGTAGTCCTGAGGTTCCGGGTTCGATCCCGGTGGAGGCGGAGACAAATGGGCAAAAAAAAGTTTCTTTCACCCTGATGCCCCCTGTTCATCTAGCAGTAAACAGGTATCTGTGAGTTACAGTTGCTACGGGCTGCTGCTTCCTGAAGGGGGGGGGGGGGGTGTAACAAAAAGGAGGCCTGGTCGAGGACCGGGCCGAGGTGTACTCCACGGGAGCCGGTCGGCCGAGCGGACAGCACGCTGGACTTGTGATCCTGTGGTCCTGGGTTCGATCCCAGGCGCCGGCGAGAAACATTGGACAGAGTTTCTATCACTCTATGCCCCTGTTACCTAGCAGTAAATAGGTACCTGGGTGTTAGTCAGCTGTCACGGGCTGCTTCCTAGGGGTGGAGGCCGTCTTGAGGTTATCTTGAGGTGATTTCGGGGCTCTAGTGTCCCCGCGGCCCGGTCCTCGACCAGGCCTCCACCCCCAGGAAGCATGCCGTGACAGCTGACTAACACCCAGGTAACACAACACGGCCTGGTCGAGGACCGGGCCGCGGGGACACTAAAGCCCCGAAATGATCTCAAGATAACCTCAAGATAAACCCGTCAGTACACAAGGTGTGTGTATAGCGACACTGGGCACCTGTAATGAGCCTCACTTTGTATGCGCTGTATCCTGGCGGCGGCTGCTCTGTAGTCCTGCAATGTTTGTGTCCGTCTCGCACGGACTTGCCCGAGAAATTGATAAGTATCGACAAGTTCATTATCCACCGTGAGCCTATGGTTAGTAGTTGTTGACCCCCGCGGAGTACAGGGTAGGTGGGTCTGGCGGTGTGGTACTGGCGGTGTGGTACTGGCGGTGTGGTACTGGCGGTGTGGTGCTGGCGGTGTGGTGCTGGCGGTGTGGTGCTGGACAGTCTCTGGCGGTGTGGTACTGGACAGTGTCTGGCGGTGTGGTACTGGACAGTGTCTGGCGGTGTGGTACTGGACAGTGTCTGGCGGTGTGGTACTGGACAGTGTCTGGCGGTGTGGTACTGGACAGTGTCTGGCGGTGTGGTACTGGCGGTGTGGTACTGGCGGTGTGGTACTGGCGGTGTGGTACTGGCGGTGTGGTGCTGGCGGTGTGGTACTGGCGGTGTGGTACTGGCGTTGTGGTGCTGGCGGTGTGGTGCTGGACAGTGTCTGGCGGTGTGGTACTGGCGGTGTGGTACTGGCGGTGTGGTGCTGTCGGTGTGGTGCTGGCGGTGTGGGTCTGGCGGTGTGGTGCTGGCGGTGTGGTGCTGGCGGTGTGGTGCTGGCGGTGTGGTGCTGGCGGTGTGGTGCTGGCGGTGTGGTACTGGCGGTGTGGTACTGGCGGTGTGGTACTGGCGGTGTGGTACTGGCGGTGTGGTACTGGCGGTGTGGTACTGGCGGTGTGGTACTGGCGGTGTGGTGCTGGCGGTGTGGTGCTGGCGGTGTGGTGCTGGCGGTGTGGTACTGGCGGTGTGGTACTGGCGGTGTGGTACTGTCGGTGTGGTACTGTCGGTGTGGTACTGGCGGTGTGGTACTGGCGGTGTGGTACTGGACCAGTGTCTGGCGGTGTGGTACTGTCGGTGTGGTACTGGCGGTGTGGTACTGGCGGTGTGGTACTGGCGGTGTGGTACTGGCGGTGTGGTGCTGGCGGTGTGGTGCTGGACAGTGTCTGGCGGTGTGGTACTGGCGGTGTGGGTCTGGCGGTGTGGTACTGTCGGTGTGGTACTGGCGGTGTGGTACTGGCGGTGTGGTACTGGCGGTGTGGTACTGTCGGTGTGGTACTGTCGGTGTGGTACTGGCGGTGTGGTACTGGCGGTGTGGTACTGGCGGTGTGGTACTGGCGGTGTGGTACTGGCGGTGTGGTACTGGCGGTGTGGTACTGGCGGTGTGGTACTGGCGGTGTGGTACTGGCGGTGTGGTGCTGGCGGTGTGGTGCTGGACAGTCTCTGGCGGTGTGGTACTGGACAGTCTCTGGCGGTGTGGTACTGGACAGTGTCTGGCGGTGTGGTACTGGACAGTGTCTGGCGGTGTGGTACTGGACAGTGTCTGGCGGTGTGGTACTGTCGGTGTGGTACTGGACAGTGTCTGCAGGCATGGTACCTTTTACATAATCCAGTGATTTAGGTATCCCTCGAGTGTGTTCTGCGAGTTCTGCGCAAAATCAAGAACAACACTTACATACAGTATTGGGCCCTTGTGCAAGGATGCTGGAACGTTTTCAACATAACATTTCTTTGTCATCTGAGAACGTGTGATTGTTTGGAGTGTGAAGCCCTGAACACACTGAAGGTCAGAGATGAAAACGAATTCTTCGTGAATGTCGTACATCTCCAGGTAGGTCAGATGTCACCCTGACCCCGCTGGACGTTTGAAGTAGTCAGGACAGCGTTCCCCTCCACTCTGCACCATTCCCAGATTCCTGGGGCCAGATTCACGAAAGCACTTACGAACCTGTACATCTTTTCTCAATTTTTGGCGGCTTTGTTTCCAATTATCAAACAGTTAGTGAGCTCCGAAGCACCAGGAGGCTGTTTATAACAATAACAACAGTTGATTGGCAAGTTTTCATGCTCGTAAACTGTTTAATAAATGTAACCAAAGCCGTCAAAGATTGAGGAAAGATGTACACGTTCGTAAGTGCTTGCGCAAGTGCTTTCGTGAATCTGGCCCCTGGAGTTTAGCATTCATCATGATTTGAAACAAATAATAATCACAGGCCCTGAACATCATTTGGAGATGGGACTCACAATCGACTTGAGAATGGTCCAGGATGGACCGAAACGTCGTCGTCCCTTCACTTTCTATTGTGTGGTCTGGTCAGCATACTTCAGCCAGATTATTGTGACTCATCACCTGCATTTGGAGATATGGATAACATATCTCCACATATGTCTGGGGATGTCTCAATATGTCTGGGGATGACACTGGTGTCATCCCCAGACATATTTAAAGTACCGGAGTCACTCCAAAAAGGAGGCAGTAAAGCCGATGGCAAAATATATATAGACCGATAGCACTAAGATCATAAAAATAATTTAAAGAGTGCCAAGAAGCAAGGTCTCAAAAGACACACAATCATTGTCTACAAGACACTGGACAACAGTGGGTCAGAACAAGGTGCTCTTGCCTCTCACAGTTGCTTGATCACTATGACATCACCTTAGATGCTCCGTAAGACAAGAAAAATGGTGATGTAATATATATATATATATATATATATATATATATATATATATATATATATATATATATATATATATATACACAAATTTCTTGAATATTTTCGACAAATATGACTATGGTGCCGAGCGGACAGCACGCTGGACTTGTGATCCTGTGGTCCCGGGTTCGATCCCGGGCGCCTGCGAGAAACAATGGGCAGAGTTTCTTTCACCCTATGCCCCTGTTACCTAGCAGTAAAATAGGTACCTGAGTGTTAGCTGTCGCGGGCTGCTTCCTGGGGGGTGTGAAGGCCTGGTCGAGGACCGGGCCGCGGGGACACTAAAGCCCCGAAATCATCTCAAGATAACCTCTCAAGATGGTGTTGCACAAAAAATCCGAAATACAAAGTAGGATGAAGTATCTTTAATTTCCTGACAGACAGAACTTAAGGGTATAATAGTCAGCATTGTCAAATCCATATCATCTACCGTGGAAAGCAGAGTCCCCCCCCCCGGGTACTGTGCTTGTACTTGTACTCCGGTACTTTTTCTTGTCCTCGTGTATGACGTAAAAGACAAGGCTAGGAAAAGAACCTTTCAAACAAGAGATGTCAAGTCAATGTTACTTGAAGTCTAGTGTTTTCTAGGGTGGAACAGTGTTGCACACGAACAGCCCCATTCACAGCTGGAGAAATTGTTGACCTGGAGGAAATGCGATGGTTTTTACTCTCAGATTATTGTTGTTGTTTAAGATTCGCTACTTGGAACAAAAAGTTCCAAGTAGCACGGGCTATGGTGAGCCCGTAGTGGACTTTATTTGCTCTCAGAATCCGCTCAGTAAAACATCTAAGTTATTGCGGCCACTTAATCTAGTCGGTATTATCAGATTAAAAAAAAAATGTAATCGGTATTCTCTAAGAGTGCAGGGGAGAGACATACCAATTTACACGAGGAAAATATATAAGGGACTGGTTCCAAATCTGCACATGTAAGTGACCCGTTGATTGATAAAGATTAAGCCACCCAAAAGGTGGCACGGGCATGAATAGCCCGTAAAAGTGATTCCTCATACGTGACAGCTTCTATCATACCCACCAAAACTAATTTGTGTCTAACTTAGGCTTCAAACAATCAAACTATGCCACGTCTTAATATGTTACCCGGGAATTTGTTTCATAAGTTAACAACCCTATTTGCTAACCAATATTTACCCAGGTTTGTGATGAATATAAACTTATCCAGTTTATATTCATTGTTTCTGTTGACAAGTTTGTAGCCAGGAAACATTATGGAGGTGGTACGTCCCCGCCTTGTGTGTGTGCTGTGCGGGGTGTGCTGGCTATCTTGAGGTTATCTTGATATGATTTCGGGGCTTTTAGTGTCCCCGCGGCCCGGTCTTCGACCAGGCCTCCACCCCCAGGAAGCAGCCCGTGACAGCTGACTAACACTCAGGTACCTATTTTACTGCTAGGTAACAGGGGCATAGGGTAAAAGAAACTGCCCATTGTTTCTCGCCGGCGCCTGGGATCGAACCCAGGACCACAGGATCACAAGTCCAGCGTGCTGTCCGCTCGGCCGACCGGCTACCGGTCCTCTACATCTCATTTTGACGTCAGAATCTCCAACGGACAAAATATGATGTACTATAAATCACAGCGGCTGTCATTTACTAAAAATTTATAAATCACATTCTCTACTACGACAGTTTTTGGGCTTAAAGTATAAGACCTGGCCGCGGGCCGGGCTTGGGGAGTAGAACCACTCCCAGAACCCCATCAACCAGGTATACGTCAAAATGCGACGTCATGCTATTACGAGGATGTAGTGAGAAATGATTGAGATTTTTGTATTCAGGTAAAGGTACATACATCGAGTTACATAATGTTGGATTTAAAGATATTGAATTGAAATTGAACTTGAAATAAGTTTATTGAGGTAAAATACACAAAGGGATGAGGTAGCTCAAGCTATTCTCACCCCGTTCAGTACATCGTGTTAATACATACATATACACACATCACAAACAATAAACATGTTACCTAACATTCCGAGAGATAAACATATACATTCCTCCTTTACACAAGTAGTATGGCAATTTAAAGATGGAGATAGTACATACCTAAAGCCACTAGTACGCATAGTGGACAAGAAACGCCCAAAGTGCTACTATTTTCGACTAGGGAATATTTTGTACATAAACCACGATCACATTTACGACGCAATGGTTTTGAAGGTGGAATGGCAGGCGGAGGTGGTGCCTTGCTCTCCAATTGGTGGGTGAGAATGACACACAAGGATGGTGAGAGGCGGCGCCGTCTCGCATCACAGCCATACTGCCCTGGATAGTGCCGCTGTTGCAATACCTTCATCTCGCAAATAATAAGTAGTGTATCGCCGTATATACCGGGAGAGGGTTCTGGGAGCTCTTAGACTCCCCCGAGGCCTCAGGCCAGGCTTGACGGGTGGTGATCATTTGGGGGATGTGAACCAGCGTTCTAGCGACTGCCAGTCGCTTGCCTTAACCCACTCAGCCACAATAGAGGTCTGTATTGTATAGGTATAGATGGCATTGTAGCCATCTTGCCACCACTACACTGATACATTATCAACTTGGGTGGACTTAAGTTTGTAGAGTCCTAGTGGTATTTTGTACAGCAGTACCTTCATCTTAGATTAATACTACTGACTTGTTTATCCCTTGATGGTTTCAAGCGTAGGTTAGACATATGAGATTAGGTGGTTATAAATATGCCTCGTATGGGTCAATAGGCCTTCTGCAGTTACCTTTATTCTTATGTTATCATCAAGTTGTGGCCCAACTTGGTGGTGGTGTATACTGTGGTGGCTGTGTGACCTGAGACGTGTACTACACTTGCATCAGTGTAACTACCACCTCGCCAACTACCTGGTTACAGTACAGCGGCTGTGAGAGCCGAGGCAGACATGCATCAGTGTACCCACCAAGACTGGAAGGGTTGCTGTACGGGGCTGCCATTTGTAATTTCCTCATCCCAGCATAACATAAGCTGTTTATTATTCCATTTAGCAGATGACCTGGTGAATTGATGCTCCGCTACTCGGACTACATGCCTTAGGAACGTCCGCTTAGTCTCCTTACAGGTGTCACAACCTCCAAGTTGGGGCAATATTAATTTTTCATAGTCAATTCAGTACCGTACTTGCACGAAGGCCGAGGTGTGTGTATTAGCGGAATACTTACCGAGGCGCGCGTGTACTGGGAAATCAACTAGGCTATTAGTAAATAAAAGCGATGTAAAGCGCACAGGAACGGCGTGTGTGTGTACACCATAGTCAATGAAGGCGAGGCGCACTTGGCAGGAATATGTACACACGTGGCCGAGGTCTTGCGGGAGGCTTGTCGACACTCTTGTTATTCCCGGTGTGTGTGTCGCTGGCCGGGCCCAGCCAGCCACGGGTCGGGGCCTTGCGCCATACTCGGCTCCCCGCTGCCATACTCCTGCTCCTCCTGCCTCCGCACACTACACTGCCTGGAACACATCCACAAGGGCCGTGACGAGGGTTCGAACCTACGTCCGACAGCATCCCAGACGCTGCTATAATCAATTGAGCTACGACATTGTATAAGAATTGCAACCAGAAGTTCTACACTGACTTCTTGCCTCTCCTCGCCGGAACTCTTCCCCCCGCCCCCCTTCTATCTTGGGGTTATCTTGAGAGGATTTCGGAGGGTTAGCGTCCCCGCGGCCCGGTCCTCGACTAGGCCTCCTCTTTTTTTTTTTTTTTTTTTTTTACACCCCCCCCCCCCCCATTCCCAGGAAGCAACCCGTAGCAGCTGTCTAACTCCCAAGGATCTATTTACTGTTAGGTGAACAGGAGCATCAGGGGGAAAAGAAACTCTGTCCATTTGTTTCCACCTCCACCCCCTAACTTAATAGCTGGGTTATGTGTGTAT